TAGAAAGTGAGGTTTGATCAATTTTCTTTGAAGGACATTTGGATGCAAAGTGTCCCATTGGCGATGAGCACTCTAAAAGCATGACTTGAGCTTTCTTCTTGAACATTTGCTTGTCACTCTTGTCATGAATTTTCTTGAGCTTGTTGCTGGGGCTCTTTGTACATGTGACGGTTGATCCCTTCTCAAGCTTCTTCACCATGTCATCACGGTTATCTTGAGATGGTTGCACATGACCTTTACCCCTTAACATCCTCAAGTCATTCTTGAGCTTCTCGACTTCTCTCATGAGATTGTCATTTTCACTTGCAATAACATCATCACAAGTTTCTACAATAATATGCTCACCACATGATGGCTTTACTTGAGAGCAACAAATGTTAGCACAAGGTAAATCAATAGACGTTTGTGTACTTGTGCAATTGCATGTGTGAGGTTGATAGGATTTTACCATAGTTAATATAACCTCATGAGATATTTCTAGCAAGGCATGTGCCTCAATAAGATTCTCATGTGAGCACAAAAGCTCTTCATGGCTCTTTTGCAAAGTCACTTGCTTGCTAGTGAGCACACCAAGTTGAGCCTTGAGATTGCAATTTTCTTGCTGCAATGACGCTACACATAGAGAAGAGTTAGTGGCACATGCATAATCCTTTTTCAAGTTATCATAATCATTAGTTAAGGATATATGCAAGTTGTGGAGTTTCTCATGATTTTCACTTAGAGCTTCAAGCTCTTTCATTTTCCCAATGAGAAACTCTTCTTGCTTCTCTAGCTGCAACTCTTGCTCCTCAATCTTCTTCATGAGCTTCATAATCTTGTACATGTCTTTCTTGCTCAACTTGTCAAATTCAAGGTCATCATCTTCACTCTCACTTTCATCCTTCTTGATTGGCTTCTTCTTGCCCTTAGCCATGAGACACATAAAGTGTTCACCTTCTGAGTCACTTGAAGAGACAGACTCTTCACTTGGTCTAAAGCGGCACCAATCATTTTCTTCATTTCGAGTTGAACTTGTTTCTGTGCTGCCAAAACCGGAACTTCCGGTTTGGGAAACCGGAACTTCCGGTTTTCCTGGACTGACAGACTGAACATTCTTTGCTTCACAACTCGATTGCTTTACTTCTTGTACATTGAAGCTTGTTGAGGATGTTGATATTTCAGGCTCAGATTCTGAGGATAATAGTATGTCTTCCGTTGAGCCATATGTTTCTTTAAGTGCCATCCAAAGAAGATGGGCACTTTCAAAAAATCCAACTTTCTTGAATATCACATCCTCCACACCTGCGCTCAAAGCACTAGATAAAGCATTATATGCATGAGCTTCGAGATATAAGCATTTCTCTTGCCCTTTTGTAAGATGATAGTAATCCAAGGCATGAGAAAAGCCTATATCTACGATCCACCAAATTTGTGGGCTCATTTGACGAAAATATGAAATCATTCGGTCTTTCCAATGAGCATAATTTGAGCCACAAAAATAAGGAATATCACAAGCAGGTCTAGATATAGAAGGAGGCAAGTAACCATGACAACCATAATCATTTTGATCCATTTCGCCTAAAGACATCGATCTTTCCTCCAAACGGTTAAGCCTATGAGGAGGTTGGGCTCTGATACCAATTGAAAGTCCCTTGATGTCGCCTAGAGGGGGGGGGGGTGAATAGGTGATATATGAAATTAAGCAATTAAAACTGCAGCGGAAACTGAAAATGCCAAAACCGGAACTTCCGGTTTGGCAAACCGGAACTTCCGGTTTTCTCGGGACAGACAAACAGAAGTTCAGATCTTTCGATCCCCGGTTCCCTCTAGGTTGAAAGAAAGCTACTAGGGTATGTAAAAGAGCTCTAGTAACAATATCCACAGAGAATAAAAGCTCAACTACACAAGCAACCTAGTAGATCAAGATTTGCATATAAATGATAAGAAAGTGTAAAGCAAATGCAAACCGAATGAAGCACGCAACGAGTTGTTTCCCGAAGTTCAGCAGCTTGCTCTCCAAGCTGCCTACGTCTCCGTTGAGGAAGCTCTACTCAAGAGCCGGGTCTCTTTCAACCACTTTCCTCCTTTCCACTATTTGTTTCTTTCCTTGCGGAGGTGAAACGGGCCTTGCACAAACTTTCCCAAGGCTCACCACAAGCTTGGGAGCTCTAGGGACGACACCTAGCCGTCTAGGAGGCTTCATCTCCAAGAGTAACAAATGCTTCACGGATTCAAGGCGAAGTGCTCAAATGCTCAAGTATGAGGATGCTCTCTTGTGCTCTCTAATTCAAATTCTCTCAACCCAATCCAAAGGATTTAGCTATAATCTCACAAATCTCACAAAGAGAGGTTGGGGAGAGCTCTAGGACACCTTGGCTATGAATGTATTCGTGGATGTGGTCAGCACCCTCAAAGAGAGGGTGTGGTGGGGTATTTATACTCATCCCCCCGAAACTAGCCGTTGGAAACTAGCCAGTACAAACCGGAACTTCCGGTTTCACAAATCGGAACTTCCGCTTTCCTAGAACTAGCCGTTGGGATTCAAAAAGAGCCGTTGGATGACTTGTCAGTGAAGTGGCGGAACATCCGACAGTTGTCGAAACTTCCGCCACAAACTCTCTGGTGATTTGGTCACTTAGTGGCGGAAGTTCCGTCAGGTGTCGGAGCTTCCGCCAGAAACTATCTGGACTCAAATCTGCTAAAACCGGAACTTCCGGTTTGGCAAACCGAAACTTCCGGTTTTGCCAGGTTCACAGGCAGAGTGTAAATTGTTGGCTATAGTGTTTCACTCTTCTCACTTAGGTTTTTCTTGAGCACTGAGACTTGCTAGCTATCCATGTAGCATCCCTCTTGATAGAGCGGCACACCTATACTCAAGATCAAATATAAAAACAACTTTTATAACTTGAGCATATAAGAAACTTGATATTGCCACTTCTCTTCAAATTTGTTCCATGAGGGCAGCCACATGAGCTTCTCTTGAGCATCACTATCTTGAACTTGTGATTCAACAATAATTGATACTTAGCAATATATACTCCATATAGCTTGAACGGTCCATCGAAATCGACTCCACTTGCCCTTCACCATACATTAGGTGCCTCGGCACCAAGACTCATGCTTGCCCTTCTCCTAACTATGGTTCATCGCGACCAAGTCATGTCAACCCTTCACCTTCTTGCTATTTAAGCCATACATTGCTTTGCATCATCCTTAAGCATCCAATTTTGTGTTGATGATTGATTTATTGATTGATCAAGTTGCTTCCAAATATATAATCATTATTGACATTTAGCACTTGATCATCCTTCATCTTGACCATGAGAAAGCCACTAGATATAAAATCTTGTATTTGAAATAATTCATTTCTTTTCATCATATATTGCCCACATGGTCTTTATTTGCTTCAAACAATTGTACATCAAAGAGTGTATTCATGAGAGACATTGTACATATATTGCTTGCAACCTGTCCATATACTCACAAAGAATATTAGACCTTTAATCATGTTGTCATACAATACACCAAAACCCACTAGGGGTGCATATGCACTTTCAGTGCCGCCGCGCGCGCCCTTCCCCCGCCGCGTCTGACCGAGTCGCGCCGGCGTCCGACGTGGCTGCCACGTCGGCGCTTGGGCCCTCGACGACCCGGGTCGGCCGCACACGTGGCAGACCCGGTGATGAGGACATGACTCATACAGATACAACCAACACTCATCCACTAGACATGCAAGATTTAATCACAAGAGCTAGAGCACGACATGCAACTTTATTGGTGAGCTCGTTTCTAATGCCGTCTTTGTATGGTTTTGAGAATATATTGATACCTAATGAATTAATTATTGTTAGGAACCATGGAGATGATGAAGAGGCAGCTGGAGAGGTACTTGGAGGCGTGGAGGGCCAGCAAGAAGTGCAAATAAAGTTTGAGGCCCAATCCAAGTCGGTTTCGAGTCCGTTTCGGACTCCAGGACCAGTCGGTACTAAAACAGGTGCCCAGGTCGCATACGGGATCGGATTTGGACGTTCTTTATATGGATGGAAAGCTAAGAAGATATCCTTTCCAATGGAGCCAGTCTCATGCCTAAATTCTCCTAGAGTCATCAGGAATCATCGAAACAAGTTGACGTCCAGAATCTGTCCCGGTGCTGCGCCGCCGTTATTTGGCCTTTGGGCTTGTATCTCGTGTGAGCCCATTAGAGGGCGCGTCCAGGGGTACTTGCACGACCCTAGACTCTTCATAAACAGCCGCCGCCACACCATTAGGGTTTGGGTTTTGATTGATTGTAAGTTTAGCCATTGCTACTTCCTTGTAGACGCGTGTGTCGACTAGACCATCCGTTCTACTTGATTCGGAACCCCACCTTGGTTACTGAGTTACTTGTTTATCTTGTTCTTGCTTGTTCTTCGATTGCTTGCAGGAATTACCCTCGTGGTTTGGTTGATCGTGCTCCACAAGATCGTGAACAACCGCTGGAGTTGGTGTATCGGTCGCTAAGGCGCATCCTTGCTGGTTGTAGTCGGGCCGTGAACGTCTCTCCATCGAAATCGAAGTTATCCCCCCACCTCTCACCCACTACAAGAAAAAAGGCTTTCTAAGGACGTTTTTATAGATGCGCTTTTATAAACGTCAACACATCATCACCTAAAGACGCTTTTTGACACGGTATTAAGATCGTGTCAATTTAACACGTTATTAGATACGCTTTAATCATCAATAGCCGAATAGACATGTTTTTGACATGGTTTTGACGTTAGTAGTCCTGTAAAGATGCTTTTTGACACGCATTGAGAAATTATATGGTACTAGACACGCTTTCATTCCGTTGGTATCCTACGTAAACACACTTATGACACGATATTGAGAACGCATCAAAGTGATACGATATTAGCCACGCTTTAAACGTATGTAATCTTATCTAAAGACGATTCTTGACACGCTATTTGTAATGCTAGAGACGTCAATGAATTTGGATAGCATGAGTTAAAAAGAATACATATCTTTCTCTAGTCATAATTGCAAGTGAGATGAGTTGGTTAAGGAAGTTTGTATGAAATGAAAAGGTCACGGGTTCAACTCCCGTGAATTGCACGAATAATACTTGCTAAGAGCATGAGGGAACAATTTTTTTTTTTTTGCAATGTTCTAAATAGCAACACTTTAAAGCGTTGCTAAATTCATAGACACGTGACTTGACCGTAACTATAAAATCATGTATAGGTTTGTAGATACGTATATAGCGTTGCTATAAATCGCATTACATCTACTAGACACGCTTTTAAAATACATCACTACAGACACATGACACGGCCCGTGCGGATACACCCCCGACACGCTTTATGAAAACGTCTCTATATTCTAATAGACATGAAATAAACGTATCTAATGTCTAAATAAAACGTATCTATAGGGGTGTTTTTCTAGTAGTGATCGAAAGATCCGCTGCAAATCCACACTTGTCCACATCATTTGGTATCAGAGCTGGGCCCTTGTTAAGAAGGGGAGAATGATGAGGACATCCTCCACTATTACCCGCTGGCAAAGACGCAACAAGTTAATGGGCCGAAGGCCCAGTTGTAGTCGGGCGGCGAACGTGTGAGCCTGTGAATAATCCCACCTTGCTTAACTTGGGAGGAGGAAGTCACCTTAAAAGGGAGAGCCACCCTTCCCCTATCAGACTAGTCTTTTAGGGCGATTGGGCCTTTCCCCGAGGGGTGCGCCGGAGTACGGTGCTAAGGTTGCCGAGGTTCAGGTCGTTGGGCCCTAGTGGACTCCTGAGGCCGGATCGGTGCGTCGTATTTTCGGATGTTGGTGCTAAGATTGCGGGATTCGGGGAATCCGGATCGGTGCGTCGGGCTTTTCGACTATTCCCACCTGGGCCGGATGCATCACCCGGCGTACCGTGCACCCACGCACACACATGCTCGGTCTACCACACTCGTGGACCGAGTCCACAAAACAGTGCCACACAGCACCCCTGGTCCCAGTAGCCCACATGTCAGCCTCACACACGCATAGTAAATTGCTAGGTGCACACAGTTTTGCACACAGAATCCTATTCCGAGCACTTTTTCAATATCAGAAAAATCCCAATAAATTCCCAAAAATCCTATATTCTTTTCTAACCTCCTTGCAACCTTTTTACACCTCTTGAAAATTAGGATGATGATTATACTTAATTAAGTTAATCAAATCCTGATCTATTTCCTTTCTTTCACTTCAAAAATCAATATCTTTTTCATTCTAGCTCCAATTTTGGCGAACCTTGCCCTAAAATTTATCTAAAATCCTATTCTATCCAGTGCCACCAAAATCAAATTCCCTCTGGTTTTATTTGGATTTTTATTTGATTTATTGCTTGTTTAATTGTTTGTTAAGCGGTAGTATTATTTTCCTTTATCGTTAGACAATCAAGCTTTCGAGGAAGAGCCCGAGGATCCGGAATACGAGGAAGGATTAGAAGAGGAAGATTTTGCTGAAGGCAAGTCCTAACCTCCCTTTGATCATGTTGATCCTATGATTGCAAAATAATCCTATCTAGAGCCTGTTTTTAAATAAACATGCATGGTATTTAAAGGTGATTTAAATGCTAGAATGTAATAAAGTATTATTTGATTGCCATGCCTTGATTTTGATTATCCTGATTCCTTGTTAACCATAGGAACCAACATCATTAAATTACTTAATGATATGTTGGATTGCTTTGCCGCTTAGGACTTTCACCATGTGTTTAATTAATCTTGCTCACATGATTTTCGTGTAAAATGCGTGTGTCTTGGGTGTGTGTGTAAATGTGAAAAGTGGGTGGTTTAATGATAAGTGCAACCCTAGTGGGGAATATTTTGGCGGGACCAGGCGAGGTAGTCCTCAGTGGGGAGGCTATCTCTGGGACGCCTTTCCTCATGAGGATTGGCTATTGAAGATGCCTGGTTCGGTCGTATAAGGACTGGTTCTTGTGCCGCCTTTGCCTAGCACCTTACGCACAGCCACAAGCCTTGAATGGGCATGGGATTGGAACCACTCCCTACTAGTACTCACCCGGTACCCCCGGAGGCAGGAGATTGCAATGGAATCCCAAGAGAAGACTCGTTCGTTGGTGGGTGTTCGAGATCCGGCATTTATGAATCTGGCCATATTATTGATTGTGAAGCCCCTGGTGATGTCCGTGGGGGATGCCGCGGTGGTACCAAGTAGGTACGGAACCTTTAGTGGGACAGTCCAAACTATGACGATAGGGCGGACTGGACCACCTTGTGGGGAAATTTGTGCACCCTCGGCCGAGGTTATGAATCTATCCGGATAGCCGTGTTCCACGGTATTGGACAACGCGAAAGCATTGGCCACACTATGATTAGAGTTTTCTGTGTGAGTTATCCTTGGCGTGTTTTTGGAATACACCGGTTTGGAGCCGTGTGCTGGTTGTCGGCCAGCGATAAAACTTGAGGCACTGGCGGGATGAATGCATCTCCCCCAGGGCCAACCAACCCCACTAAACTTATAATCATACCTGACTTAGTTTGTGAACCGTTTTGTTTTCAAAACAACCTTGCATAAAGATGGCTTTCTGCCGACGCGACCAAAAAAACCTCAGCCTTACCCTTGTGAACACTCTTGCATATCTCACCCCTCGTGTTAGGACTTGCTGAGTACCTTAAGTACTCACTCTTGCTTCAATCATTCAGAAGATGAGCCAGAGTTTGATTTCCAAGCCGATAGAGAAGAAGAGTAGGGTTCAGCCTGCCTGCAAGTTTGCCTGTTGGAGTGGAGTCGCTTCCGTCTTCCGTTGCAGTAGTTGTAGTGCAGTGCTACTGTCCTCAGTGGCACTCCAGTGTGGTGCTTGTGTCGTGTTGTAATAAAGCCTTTGGCCATTGTCCAATCCGAAACACAAACAATGCATTTTGACCTCAATATGCTAATACAGAATGTGCAGTTTGGTGAGATAGACCAACCCTTTTTGCGTGATGAAATTGATGCAATAGTCAAGGAGATGCCTGGTGACAAGGCCCCAGGGCCTGATGGATTTAATGGACATTTTATCAAGAAATGTTGGCCTCTAATTAAAGAAGACTTCTATAAATTATGTTCTGCTTTTTACGAAGATGGATTGGATCTTCAGAGCATAAATAGCTCGTATATTACTTTGGTCCCGAAATCTGCATCCCCGGAAGGAATTAATGATTACAGGCCTATCTCAGTCCTAGGCTGCCCCATCAAATTGTTGACCAAGCTGGTTGCTAACAGAATGCAGAGGATAATCACTCAGGTTATTCATGAAAACCAATATGGTTTTATTAAGAGCAGGTCGATTCAGGATTGTCTCTCATGGGCATTTCAGTATTTATATATATGTCATGCATCTAAGAGAGAAATAGTTATTTTGAAGCTTGATTTTGAAAAAGCCTTTGACAAGGTGGAGCACCATGTCATACTGCAGATGCTAGAACATAAGGGCTTCTCTCAGAAGTGGATAAATTGGATCAGATCTATATTATCATCAGGTACATCGAAAGTGCTATTGAATGGAGTGCCAGGGAAGACTATACATTGCAAAAGAGGAGTGAGGCAAGGTGATCCACTCTCACCCCTCCTCTTTGTACTCGCAGCTGACCTACTACAATCTTTGGTTAATGATGCACATCAGAAGGGCCTACTATCTCTTCCACTAGCACACTCTTTTGGACAGCAGTATCCTATTGTCCAATATGCTGACGATACGCTAGTAATCATGCCAGCAATCACAAAGGAGCTTTTCTTCCTAAAAGGGCTTCTTCAATGTTTTGCAGACTCAACTGGCTTGAAAGTGAATTTCAGTAAATCTTTCCTAGTGCCTATAAATGTCACAAGTGAAAAGGCTGCACATCTTGCTGCTACACTAGGCTGTCAGGTGGGCACCATGCCCTTCACATATTTGGGTCTTCCCCTAGGTACTACCAAGCCGGTCATTGACGACTTCATGCCAATACTTAATCGCATTGAAAGAAGAATCATGGGTATCTCTCCTTTTGCAACTTATGGTGGAAGACTGGAGTTGAATAACTCAGTTATCACAGCTCTACCCATGTACTCCATGTGTGTGATTCGTTGGCCTCTTGGTGCTATTGAACAGGTGGATAAATATCGCAGGCACTCAATGTGGCGAGGCTCTGATATGAATAGGAAGGGGAATTGCTTAGTGGCATGGAAGAAATGTGAACGGCCCAGAGAGCAAGGTGGGCTAGGTATCATCAATCTGGAAGCACAGAACAAAGCATTGTTGTTGAAGCACTTACATAAATTTTACAACAAGCACGATGTGCCCTGGGTTAAGCTCATCTGGACGGCCTATTACACAAACATGCAAACACCACATTCCAGGAGCCCACGGTGATCCTTTTGGTGGCGAGATCTATGTCGATTGGCAGATACATATCGAGGATATGCCATGTCGATAGTTGGAAAAGGAGACACCACAATGTTTTGGAAGGACAGTTGGAATTTTGGATGTCTCCAGCAGGCATATCCACATCTTTTCTCATTTGCTAGAGAGCCCAATTGTTCAGTACGACGATTTATGAATCTATTGCCAGATTACAACAGTCTCTTTCAGTTACCCTTGTCACAACCTGCAGCAGAACAGCTAGCTGAACTGGTTGAAACCTTGGAATCCTGGAACAGAGGGGAGGAGCAAAATGATCAATGGGTTTACATATGGGGTAATGCGCAATATTCAACCAAAAAAGTGTATGAACTTCTTATAGGGCAAACAGAAGCACCACCACCATTTCAGTGGCTCTGGAAATCATGTTGTCAGAAGAAACATAAGGTGTTTTTGTGGCTACTAATGCTAGATCGTTTGAACACAAGAAATCTTCTTAGAAGGAAAAGGTTTCAAGTACCTTCAGTTAATTGTGTTCTTTGCACCAACAGCACCGAAGAGACAGCAACACATTTGTTCTTTGGCTGCGCTTTTTCACAAATGTGCTGGACATCACTGCATATTATCTGGGACCTCTCATTGCCATTGGTGGAGATGATTCAGGAGTACAAGAGTCACTTTATGAGTGAGTGCTACATGGAAGTAATTACGGTGGCAGCATGGACCATCTGGACAC